ATTACGAACAACAATGCTCATAGATCAAAGTGTTCCTGTTTGTACTCATCCCACACACGTACACCTTCTTTATTCCACAAAATGAGAAGTTCGTCAATAAGTGGTCTCAGGTACACATCGATGTCATTGCCAGGTTGCTTCGGACCTTGGATGAGCACAGGCATTATAATGAACTTCTGCTTCATCCATAACCAAGGAGGAAGGTTGTAGATACTTAGAGTAATAGGCCAAGTGCTATGACTATTGTTCTGCTCTCCAAAAGGATTGATACCATCTGTACTTAAAGCAAACCTTAAGTTTCTTGCGTCATTTGCAAACTCCGGGAATTCTCTGTCGATTGCTCTCCACTAGGACCCATCAACAGGGTGTCTCAACATATTATCTACCTTACGGTCTTCTTTGTGCCATCGCAATAATTTTGCATGTTCTTTGTTTTTGAACAGACGTTTCAAGCGTGATATTATAGGAGCATACCACATAACCTTGGTAGGGATTTTCTTCCGTTGACGTTTGCCCTCAACATCACCAGGGTCATCTCGCCTGATCTTATATCGCGATGCATGGCATACCGGGCATGCATCCAATTTCTCGTACTCTTTGCCACGGTAGAGGATGCAGTCATTAGGACATGCATGTATCTTCTCGATTTCTAGCCCCATAGGATAGACAACTTATTTTGTTTCGTAGGTAGTGACGGACACTTCATTATCCTTCGGAAGCATCTTCTTTTGGATTTTTATTAACTCTCCAAATCCCTCGTCAGATACACCATTCTTTGCCTTCCATTGCAGCAATTCTAGTGTGGTTCCCAACTTTTTCTGCCCTGCATCACAAGTTGGGTACAGTAATTTCTTGTGATCTTCTAGCATCCACTCGAACTTGATCTTCTCCTTTTCACTTTCACATTCTCTTTGTGCGTCACGAATGACCTGACAAAGATCATCAGCAGACTCATCTTCTGCGGCTACCTCTTCTTCAGCTTCTCCCATTGCAGTATCATTGAAGCACGCACCATCGGGAATAATATCATTGTCGTCCCATTGTTCTTCTTCACCTTCTTCCATTACAACGCCGGTTTCTCCGTGCTTCGTCCAACAAATATAGTTTGGCATGAAACCCGACTTGAACAAGTGTGAATGAAGAGTTCTTGAGCAAGGATATTCCACCGTATTCTTACATACGGCACATGGGCAACACATGAAACCATCACGTTTGTTTGCCTCGGCCGCACGTAACAAAGAATGCACGCCGTCCATAAACTCTTGGGAGCGACGATCAGCATTGTACATCCAATGCCGACTCATCTGCATTATATGACATAAATACCATATTAAAACCTAGAACATAATTAGTTAATTATACAACTTGCATACCACCACAAAAGCTATAAATTTAAGAAATTCTCGCTACAATGTAGACAATCCCAACTACCACTAAAAATACTAAAGCTAAAATGCACTTCAGCAGCACAAGGATTTCACGACTAATCCTAACTAAAACAGACAGATCCCCTGTTTGTTCAACATCTTTGGGCTTCTTCGGCTGGATCACTGCCTCATTAGCCGCCATATATGTCTGTTGTGCAAGATATTTTTGCACGAGTTCAACATACTCTTCCTCCCAGTAGAAGCTTGAACATCGAGTGCCATCCCACTAAAATTAAAATAGAAAATTAGAACTTTAATCACAACCATCATGAAAATAGGTATAAACTAACCATAGTCATTAAATACGATAAAATAACTCACATTGCGATCCGGACACTTATAGAAAATGCAACTCTTGTTGGGACCCTCCTTCTTCACTCGGTACTCCATCACAATCTTTGTCTCATCACAACACTTGTCGCATGCAATGAGTGGGAGGCCCGGCCTAAGTTGCTTTGGAAACCCATGAGAGGCCGAGGACCCAGAAGCAGTTGTCATCTACTCTCTATACTCATTTTTAATACACTATAAATTTCTCATTTTATAAACAAATAAAATTAAAAAAACTCTAAAATTCTCTATATCTCTAAACAATGAAGTGTGCTATGCATACTACAAATGAACGGTGAATACTAGTTTTAATAGCTACTTTAACCTTCCTTCATGTAAATATGCAAGCTTAAAGTTTAAAGGTTTCCGAGTGTTTAACACTACTCTGCTTACCGAGAAAGTTGCTAGTGTTGTGTCGTTGGCATTTTTCATGGTCGTGGCCATAGTCATTGTGTTCTCGTCTTTTACTACTGCAGGTAAGTAATTCACATGATATTTCCGCAAATTAACAGAAGAATGGGAGTGTACACACATAACAATCGATTATCGTTTATATTTATATATATACTACGTTTGGGTACGGTGATTGAAAGACTACTACGACGATATCGGGATGTGTGAATAAATAACTATCCGTACTAGTTGACCTTGCTTACGTGATCATCTCGGCGAGCATTTCTCCACCGGATGGCACCGTACTTGGCCACGGAAGAGCTCCGATTCTACGAGAAAGGGAACATGGTCTTCCACGACCGTTGCCGCTCGCCCTCGTAGAATCAAAGCTCCTCCTTGACGTCCGTTACCGCTTGGCAGAGAACATGCTCGCCGAGATGAACACGGTCCGCAAGTTCAACTAGCTACTTTTACCTTCTTTTATGTAAATATGCAAGCTTGAAGTGATTTTGAGCTCAAATTGCTTACAAATGAAAAAAAACCACAATAAAGAACCATATATATATAGGGAACAAAATGACATAAGACAATGGTGAAACATGAGAGTATGAAGTTGGTAACCTTTAGAATCGAAGAATCGACGGAGGAATCGAAGAAATCGACGGATGAATCGAAGAATGGATGGAGAAAGAGTAAGAACTATAGGTTATTTTGAGCTCAAATTGTTTACAAATAAAAAAAACACCATAAAAACAATATATATAGTGAATAATATGAGATAAGCAATGATGAAAAATGAGAGTATGAGATTGGTAACCTTTACAACTGAAGAATCAATGGAGGAATCGAAGAAATCGACGGAGGAATCGAAGAATGGATGGAGGAACAATAGAGGGAGGAAGCAAGAACACTAGTGCAGTGAGCTTCAAAATGTGCTGAGCTCGGGCTCGGAGAGGAAGAAAGAGACGGCTGGGATATAAAGGGAGGACATTTAGTCCCGGTTGGTGGCTCCAACCGAGACTAAAGGTAATTTTCAAACCCCCGACGCAGCCACGGCCTAGGAGTAGACCTTTACTCCCGGTTGGAGCCACAAACCGGGAGTAAAAGTCTACCTTTAGTCCCGGTTGGTGGCTCCAACCGGAACTAAAAGTCCATGCCACCTCTGTCTGGCGCAGTAGCCGTTGGGCAGGGACCTTTAGTCCCGGTTGGATCCACCAACCAGGACTAAAGGTCTCTCAAGTCCCAGACGCAAAAAATACCGGGACTAGAGCCCATTTTGATCGAGGATCAAATGTCTGTTCTCTACTAATGTATCCTCTCTCTCTCTCAATTTAAGCTCTGAATTGATACAGCACAGTTCATAGAAACATTTATTTATTTTTCGGTGGATGAATATGCTGGATTTACACAACAGCGCACAGCGTGCATTACTTTCTGCAGCTACAAGTACATTAGTGTCAATATGAAAACATAGTACTGACCTTTTCATTCAAATGTTTATAAGGACTCAGATCGTGCCCTTGATTATACAGATCTAGGTATTGTTTGGCAGGGCTTTAGCTCCGTGCCGGATTTGAAGTTTGTAAAGCTAAAACAAACTTGTTTCCATATAAGTTTAGACAAGACCCCTTTTTTTGAAAACAAAATGACAATGTAACGTTGCTTCAGTTTGAGCCCAATAAATAGGCTGCTCACGTGCGCCTCATTTGCTCAGCCCAACAAAGAAGGCTTTGCTACTTCTCGGCCCAAACGTGGAAGGTCCGCTCCATGTGGGCTGGCGAAGTCACTGATCTAAAAAAAAGCTAGAGGAGCCGTATCAAATATATATATTAAAAATAAAAAATGAATAAATTTTTAATAAATAATATGAAAGCCAAAACCGTTTTAGAGTCTAGAGCAAGAGCTAAAATTTATGATTTCTTCTCAAGTGCTTCGACTCTTCTAAAAAAATACTCGAGGAAGAGCCATACCAAACAATACCTTTACTCCTAGGGAATGCTCTACCGAGAAGTTAAACAATTATATAGTTTTAACCACCTCTATTCTACAAAAATACTAGCATTTTTATATTAATAAGTATTACTAAATTTATTTAAAATATATTTTTATAATATATTTATTTAGAATTATAAACATTATTTTTTTATAAATAGATTAAATTTGAGAAAGTCTTCTATGCTTATTTTTTTACGAAGGGAATAATAAACTACTACCACGCCATATGTTTACAGTTAAGGTCCTGTTTGGTTAACATTCAAAATTTACCATGTCAAAATTTGACAAACCAAAAGTTGAAAAAAGCATTACTATAGGTTTGGCAAGCCAAATACGAAAGTTTGACAAGTTTTAATAACAAACTAAATACTAGCTAAAATTATGACTTACCAAATTATTAGCATGACAGAGTTTAGAAGCTAACCGATCATGCCGTAAATAATCCTCAATTCCGTCATCTTTGGTCTTGTTTAGATTGTCTCAAAGTTCCAAGTTTTTTCACTTTCTCTCCATCACATCAATTTTTGGACATATGTATAGAGCGGTAAAAAAAAAGAATTAATAAGAATCACCATCTTTTGGCTCAGGTTTGTCAGAAAAACGCTTTGATCCGGATTGCAAAAATTTGCAATCTAATGCAGGCCTTTGTCTTGCATCTCAAGGAGCGCGTCGCAGAATAGCGCTAGAAGCAACTTAGCCCATCTGTCAGGTCAGATGGGACAAAGGCGCGTCGAGTAATAGAGCGGCGCGGCATGACTTTAACTTCTCCCGCACCGACCGCCGCCTAGGCTTTCCCCTCTCCCTCTCACTCTCCGGCCACTGAGGTCGAACCCGAGCCCGCGCCGCAGCGGCACGATGGTGACCGACGCCACGGCGATGGCCGTCGTGAGGGCGGCGCGCCCGGCCCTCCGCGGCGCCCACGACGGCGTCGCATTCGCCGCCCACGCTGCCTTCCTCGCCGCTGGGTACTCGCTCTGCGCCGTCGGCCCTGCCGCGCTAGCCGACCCCTCGCCCTCAGGTGCGTGCGTTCCCGCCCTGGCTCCCCTGTTGTGGGACTCCCCACCGCCCCGTCGCCCCCCTCCCCCAAAAAACTAGGGTTGACATTCGGCTGGTCTGTTGGACGCGTTTGGTTAATTCATTGAATACGTAATGGGCAGATTTCAACGTACGGGTAGCACCTAATTGTCTAGGATATTACTGCGTGATGTAATCAACTTGTAGCTGACAATATGATACTTGATAAGCCATGAGTAATCAGAGTTTTTAAAATCGCTAGCATTGGGGAATTCATGCTTATAAGTCTGCTTGCGTTTCTATGATTAAGGTGGTAATTCAGCCATCAGTTTTGAGTTTTCTATCTGTATTATGCAATTTACTCAATTTCAGGTGATGAGGAGGTGGGGATTGATGGTTGGAACAGCATGGAGAACTGTTATGCCTTTTTGTATAGCAAGGAGGAGAAGGGCAAGAAGAAAAGGGTATTAGTCAAATGTCTTGTGATCGGTGAAGTACTTGCAATTGATGTCTTGGATCTTGAGGCACAAGATAAGGGCCCATATAATATCCAGATTAAGTACGTTTGGATCCTGCAACTAATTTATTTGCAACATTGTTTGGTTTCAGGTGCTATGATTTATTAGCATAGCATATTTATCAACTAGTAATAAGAGCACTAGGATAGGAATAGTTATGGACAATAGTGTCATGTTCTGGTACTCATACCAACCAGAAGCATGGTTTTTGCAATCGTACTTACACACCATGTCTACTAGGAAACACATTCTTGAATCATGTGGCTCTACTTGGAAAATATCATTTTTGTAATTTTGATCTTGATTTAGTAGTAGATGGTACAATTAGGCTCTTCTATTACTTTCAAAAGACCACATATGACGAATAAGAAAATTTGATCTATTCTCTATCTTTTAAAAGAAAATATGAATGTAGTGTAATGGCAATCTACTTTGTACTTAGCAGAAATATATTGACGTACTTGTTTAATTGGCTCTTCCCTATCTCCTATTTTGTTGAGGTTTTCTTTACTCATCTGAATTCTCCAGTTTTATAGCCTCAAGTTTTAACATGATTCCTTATATGTAGTGTGAAAGATTTCTTTGTCGAAGAGCAGCCAAAGAATTATGGGGATATGTACAAGAATTTTGCAAACCTCATTGACATTGTGAACTCAAATGTGTTGTGGAAATTGGATGGAGACGATGTTGGTACTGAGGCTGCTAAGAGCGCTGCTGCTGCCAAGAACTCTGATGCTGAGAGAAGTTCATCAATGCAGAGGTATCATTATGTTGTTGTTTTTTTTTTTTTGCAATATCGTAGTCACAGAAAATGGGTCTGAAGGCATCGACCCTTGACCCTTCAACGTTGCACCGACCTGGGTACGTGAGGTCATTTTCGACCCCGCCGTGTAAAAACCTCTCGCAAGTACCGTACCACTTTCCTTGACCATGTCAATCTGGTAACTTTGTGACTATGAGCAATACTCTCCCACCATCCATCTTCTAGGTTACATGGGAGCAACTTTACCTTGCTATTTTTTTTCTTAGTGTCGATGTCTTAAATCATCAATTGTTGGAAATTAAGGTTCTGTAATTGGTCTAGTCTGCAGATTCTTCTTTTTTTCTCATATTTAAGAATTCTGGAAAATATCGCCAAAAGCTGAAATTATTTGAATATTTTTTCTTGAACATGCAGGAGAAATGCGTATCTTCTATATTATTAAAGTTTTCTTGAATATAGAAATTTAACTGTGCAATTGGTCTCATTCTCTTGTATTTTTCTAATACAATACACTTGTTTTTCCAGCTCTGAAGATCCAGGTCCTAGAACTGCTGACCCTTCCGGGTATGATCCCTAGACAACATTGTAACACCTCTGGTGTTACGAGCTTGCTTAGCACCTAGGTTAAGGTCAACGAAAAACAATTTATATAAACAAAAATAAAATATAACTTGTGTGTAGTACTTAAGTAAAGATGATGAACAAGTGGTGTAGTTAAAATGCAACTTTAATTTTTGAAAACAAATGTTGTTAACTAATGTTTTGGGAGCTCAAACATCGAATCCAAAAAATTAAACTAGAACTTTCCGTTGAATCGACAAGAAATTGAACTTAGGTTATGAACGTTATTTTTGGTGAATTATATTGAGCAAAATAGTTTAAAGGTGCTTAAATGTTTTGCTCTATGGGTTAGTATGTAGTATGGGCTATTGAGTGAAATACTTATTGTTTGGAATTAATAAGGTTTAGACATATTAAAAATTGCAACAAAAGTGCTAATGGATGTTAGTGCAAGCCGAGCTCTAGACCTTCTAAGACTAGAAGGAAGAAGACAATGTCATCTTGGCGTTTACATTTTAACTAAAATACTTAAGCATTGGCTCCACGATTTCGTTTTGTTGGTTGCGTCTAAGTGAGTGCTTTAGCAGGGTGTAGTTCACGGATGAGTTGGAGTTGTTGTGGCGTCGCAAAAATTGCCCTAGCATCCTAAGAACGCGCTATGACCAGGCTGTTGGCGCTCTGTTCATGAACCAGCGTTTAGCGTGACGAACCCATGTTGGCACCTATCTATCTCCCTCGCTGGTCACCCTCCGGCTGTGCTTGTTGCCTGGATACGAAGCCCTTAGGGTCTACTAGAGTCTTCAACTTTTGTTTTAATCTCAACCGAGCTCTAATCGATTGATTTTCACGCTTTAAGATCTGTGCACGACATCGCCTCGGGCTGGCTGGCCGGGTGTGCGTGGTCACCGCACTCGGGGTGCGACGTCGCGCATTGGTGCACCCACCGCCGCACGCGCGCACCACATCGCGCGTGGCCTTGCCGGTGGTCGTGTCTAATAGAAAACAAGTACTATTGGAAGGGCATTAGATTAGGCGGTTCTGCCACAAACATCATCCCTTTTCTTTTGCATGTATACATCTTTAGTATTTTTCTCCAGCTCCTGTGTTGATTTGGGGCGATTGACCTTCTGTATACCTTCTTTAGGCCCCGTTTGAATCCATTGGATTCTGAGAATCCAGATAGAAAAATCCTAGAATCCTAGTATCTTATCCAAACGGTCTAGATTTTAGAGGGATTTTAGATTTTTAGAATCTCATAATCTAATAAAACTGTGAAAGCATCTAGGCCCCTAGTTGGGTTTCGGTGATTAATGACAATACAAGATTACTATGACTAACGTGTGTTTTGCAGAGGCAATTAAGTTAGGTCATGGTAATGGAGATCGATTGGACAATCGAGGTGGTCATGCCCCTACGATGGAAATCGTTTCGGTTTTCAAAGGATGGACGACAAGGTTAAGGATGACTAGTTCTAAGTGTCGATTGGAGTTGGAGTGACACTTAGAGTAGTTTAGGACTTTGTTTTTCCTTTGGCCGTACTATTAAGAGGGGTATGGACGGGTAGCTTGACCTAGATGAGTCTAGTGAGTTAGGTGTGGTGCACACTTGTTAAAACTAGCACTAGGTAGCTCCACAACAGCTCTATGATCCAATGGAGCAAACTTCATTCACACATGATCGAGAGTTGAAGGTGAATGGAGGGTCAAATACTGACCGGACCGGCTCGATGCTCGGCCGACGTGGCGTCAAGGGTCCGGCCGATTCATTTGATCAAGAGATCTGCGTTTCAAATGCACCGGATGTCTTTGGAGTGGTCAAATGACCGGACCACGCTGAAAGCGGCGTCCGGTCGACTCAAAGAAGGTTCCAAGAAGAAATCTGCGACCGGACGCGTCCGGTATATCTTAACCCGGACCACAGGGGTTCAAATCCGTCCGGTCGAAAACACAAGAAGAGTTCCAAAGGGTTTAATGCGACCGGACGCGTCCGGTCAATCATTGCCGGACCCTGACTTTTCTGAACCTAGTGATAGCAACATGTCCGGTCAACTTTTTTTTCACCGTTCATGGGTTGAACTGATGGAGCGTCCGGTCACCCACGAAGGCTTAACGGTTCGTTTTTGGTGTCAGCCTTTATAAATAGAATCTCCACTCCAGGTACTTTTGCTCATTACAACAGCTGAGAAACACGTTTGTGAGTGCCAAGAAGAGCAAGATTCTAGTGAGGTGATTGAGATTTGAGAATCCAAAAGAGTAGCCTCATTAGTGAATCAAGAGTAGACAAGTGTGCATCCATCTTCTCATTAGGCTTCGCGTTGTCAGGTGAGAGTTCGTGCTTGTTACTCTTGGTGATCGTCATCACCTAGACGACTTGGTGGTGATTGGGAGCTTGGTAATCACCCGGCGAAGCTTGTGGGTGATCCAACTCAAATTGTGAGCGGCTTTGGGTGATTCGCCGCGACGGAGTGTCGAAGAATCAATCCGTAGAGAGCACTTGATCCTTGCGCGGATCAAGGGGGAGCTACACCCTTGCGCGGGTGCTCCAACGAGGACTAGTGGGGAGTGGCGACTCTCCGATATCTCGGCAAAACATCGCCGCGTTCTTCTCTCTCTTTACTTCTAGCATTTACTTTAAGTATTTACTTTAAGCAATTCAATACCTCTTTACATTTATAGAATTGTCATGCTAGAGTAAGTTTGGAACATAAGTTGCAAGTCTTTTGTGCGTTAGTTTGATATAAACACTTTTCTAGGCACAAGGGGTTAATTGGCCTATCCGTAGGATTTGATTATTGCAAGAAAATTTAGAATTAGCCCAATTCACCCCCCCCCCTTCTTGGGCATCTTGATCCTTTCAAACTGTTGTGATTCTTTTTATACAGATTCTTATGATCCGATGGGATCAAACAGCACCTTAATTGGTTTCATCAAAATTTGCCCTATTTTTTGTTCCTGTTGTTTGTTGATGTAATTGCTCTGTAAATGTATATTTATGTTCCCAGATACACCGAATCAGTAGTTTATATATAGAGGACCATGCACATTCTTATGTTTCTGTGCATATGGATTTTTTTATCAAGTTACTTTTCTTCCACATTCTGTATTCTGTGACGTCTTTGTTCACTAGAAGTTGTTTGTTGAAAACCTATAGCCACAGAGGTCGGAAGAGTGGGTTACTAATAATGAAACTCTTGAGTGCCTTTAGTTACTGACTTGTACATATGCATCATTGAACCATACAGTAGCAAATGTTATTTGGTGCACTTAACACATACATTGGATACCTAATAAGTACTCCGTTCCAAATTTTGTACTTGATATTTTGTGAGTGTTAGCAAATATTTGTTCGAGTTACAGTAGTTATCATCTGCACAGTTGGAGTATTGTATTTTCTTGTGGGGCTGTGGCTAATCAGTTTCTATTTTATATGTTGTGATGCAGCCTAATTTATCCTCCAATAGCACCACTTGGTTCTGATGATCTCTACCCTGGACCTGGTGCAGGCTTCTACCCTCACAGGTATTTTTTCAACCATGAAATGAAAGCTTGTGTAAAACATGGAAGGAATTGATAGCTTTATTTGTCTGCTCTGTTTACAGTGGTATTGGGAGCGGTGGCAGCATGCTCATTGGTAATATTACATCGATTAAACACTACTATCCAGTTTTTGTCGTTATGTTTGTGCATGTCTACAGCTCAGGCTTAATGATTATTTTGGCGCAATAGGTCCTAACGATCCACGCTTCTTTCCTTCTAATAATCCCTTCAATGCCCCATTTGGTGGCCCTGGGTATGTTCTGCTCTTGTTTCACTAAATTTGTCATTTCAAGATCACTTAGTGAGGTACTATTTTTGTTATAGTTCTTAATAAAAATGAATGTTTGAAACAGGAGTGTTCCACCAGGTGGTCGCTATGATCCAATTGGCCCACCTGGTGTTCCAGGGTTTGAGCCATCTAGTTTTGTTAGGTAAGTTAATCATTGCTAGCATTTTCTTTGGATTGTTTCCCATCTATAAGGTTTTTCAAGATGGCCTATTGTCTAACTCGGTGCTGCTTTACAACCTGTCAATAATTAACTTAACGGCTCTTCAAATACGCTTTTCCTAGTGCAGGTTTCTATCCTACATCCTGTTGTATATTAGATTATTAACATCCTATATCAATACATATTATCCCTGATCACCTTGGAAGATTAAGTGATATCCAATTGAAAACTGCCAATGCTTATCGGCCTGTTCATTTGATTGCGGAATCAACACCTGCATTCTGAACCTAGTGATAGCTAAATATACTTTTTGTTTGACTGTTGATGTAGGCGTCCAAGGCGGCCTCCAGGCGGGAGCACCCACCCAGACCTCGAGTTCTTCCAGCAAGGCCCAGACTTCTGAGACTCGCATCGCACAGAGGCCGGACCTCGTCCTTACCCCCACGAAATAACATGGCATGTTTAAAATGCTGAGCTGATTGCAACTGCTGTATCGCGGATAGTCCTAGTGCACTTTGGCTGTAAAGATGGATGTGAACATCTGTGTATTTTCCCTTAGTTCCAAACCATCGTTTGTCATAGCCTTAATGTAATATGCTTTTGTGTATATATCGGGTACCTGAACTGAAAGCGAAACTTGTCGACAAGCATGCGAAGGGAAAAAGGGAAGAGGTGCATCCTCTGTCGCTTCTGGCTGCTGCATCTCGAGCCAGGGAATATCCCGCGAGAAAACTGTTTCAGGTCCAGGGGTTGGTTGGTTAGCTAGTGCCCGATGGGGCTGCCGGCGTACAGGCATTAGTTTTTTGTGGTGACGTGGTCGTGTTGCCGTGCGGTGAAGACCTGCGATGTCGAGGCTTTTGGATCCTTTCGCTGGTGCCCATCATGCGTCTCGCGCCCGCCGCGCTTTTTGCTTCGCCGGGTACGCTTTGCTTTTGGGCTAGCACTAGCAAATTTATACGGAATCAGTGATACTAGACGAACCATGAGTGAGTGAATTGGCATGGCATGGCATGGCACGGCACGTTATCCGGGCGCCCCTGGTTTTGGTCCGAGGTCCATCGCCATGATGTGGTCCGCCAGCAGCGGCGGGCAGAATTATTTAGTGCGCCTATGCTCATGCCATTAGAGTCGGTAGACTCGTTAGACTGACTCCAGCAAATGACCCATATGGGTATCCATACCTAAAATGGTTAACTAGAGATATAAAATCGATCTCCAACATGCTACCTATATGAAAGACTTATTTTTGGTTGTATGAGAGGCACAACCTAAATATAAGCATCTCCTCTTCAAACAAAAAAACTCATTTACAGAAAGAATTATCTTTTGGGTTATATTGTTGAAGAAGATGCTAAATGTGTATCAAACCCTTTGCCTGTAGTGCTATCCAAAGGTCGAATGAGTTTTTACATTTTGGATGTTAATATTATTAGAGATAGTCTTACGCGGCGTATCAATAGGGCAAGGGAGCAGTATTAGCACCATCCTGCCCAGTGCCCACTTCCTTGCTTCTACGTACAAAACATCTGCAGTGGTGCAAATGCAGTAACCTTAGTCGCGCCATAATAGGCGAAGAGGTGCTAGATAATCACTGGACTGGGATTAGAAAGCGGAGGGGTGGAGTATTTTGTATATATACACATGTAAAGACTGCTGAGGCGATATCCGCACGAGATTTCTGTCACTAAGTTATTAGACCTCTACTTTAGCCGTTGACGTCCTCCTTTAATAGGTTATAAAAATCTCCATTCCAAATTATAAATGGATTTGATCTTTTTTTTTACATCCATTTAACTATGTATCTAAATACAATGTATGCCTAGATACATAATCAATTCTGTATCTAGATACAATGTATGTCTAAATACATAGTCAATTTTATGTAACAAAAAAAATCAAAGCGATTTATAATTTAGAACGAAGGAAATACTTTTTTTTTACCGAGATTATATCCGCATGAGATTTCTGTCACTGAATTCTTTAAACCTTTTCTTCAGCAGCTGACGTCCCCTTTTAATCCGTATACATGCATGTCCAATAGAAAGGTCCAATTCAGTGCTTAGATTCTAACTCATGACCAACATTCTGTTACTACAGTCTAGAGACATCAGCACCTAAAGAGATCCGGAGAGAAGAAATATCACTAACCATATGTTTCTCCTAAGTGCTTACCTTGTCAAAGAGATCTGGAGAGAAGAAATATCAGCAACCATATTTTCCTCCTAAGTGCTTACCTTGTCAAAGAAGTGATACGAACCACCCTTTCTTACTCATTAATTTTCTCCACGCCTGTATGAACAATAGGCGTGGAAGAGATATTTTCCCTTTTCCTCTAACCATTTAACACTAGCATAATCAATAAGCAACGTGGTATCGAAATCAACCAGATTAAAGGAGAATATGGGTGATGGGGACAAGGAAAACAAAACAAAATTCACATCCCTTTCCATCCATCCACCCCTGCCTTCATCATGCCTACTACATACCATATGCGACGTAGCTGGTTTCCTGTTGGCCGGATGGAGGCTTGAGCAAGGGAGCATACTGAATAATTAGAATAATTATCTTCTCACAAGTGAAAGGAATACAGGCACTTGATAGATTGACAGGCAGAGAGATGGGTACAGATAGATACCTTTCATCAAGACTTGCACACCACATAAACAAGACATACAAGGAACTACAACCTTTTTATATTCTTTATAATGCTATATATATAGCTCTATGGCCTAACCTAACCTAGCAGAATGAATAATTGCACTAGTATAGTATATTGTATGATTGTATATATATACTCATCAATCCAAGGAAGAAGCACAAGGAGCACTCAACAAACCACCAGCCAACACAAACCCACATGGAGGCTGTGCTGTGCCCAGCTCACTCCTTGCTGAGCTGGCACATGCACCAACAGCTAAGGAATTTTCTCCCTGAGGAGAACAAGAATCTCTCATAGACAAAACCAGACAAACCACAGCCCCGGAGCCCCCAATTGGCTTCTCAGCCAACTCTTTTCCTTGTTCTTTTTTTTCTGCGTGCTTGCTTATAACAATTGACTGACTGACTGACTGACAAACTTAATATCACACAGGTGCATGAACAAGAGAGGAGCTTAGGCCAAAAAAAAAAAAACGAAAAAAGAACTGCAAAAAGGTACCCACATCTTAGTAGATACATTCCAACCACTGCAGGAAGTTGCAGTTGTGTTTTTTTTTTGCAGCAGCACTCTCTCACTCACCACAGGATTTTACAAAGCGGAAAACTGGCTCGGCATCGTCTCGGGTGTTGTCTCAGAGGCCTCCTCACCTCTGCTCCTGATGCTGGTCGCTGTCTGCTGCTACCTCTTGCCTCAACCTCAGACCAGTAACACCTGCCAATAAGCACCTTTGTTAGACCCCTCTTCAGGCAACAGCTGTGATTGATGATTCTTTTTTTAAAAAAAACATTGCACAGAAATTGTAGTAGGAATCCCTAAAAGGAGTGTTATGCTGCCTAGGGTTCACATCGATCATGTGAAGTTCAACCATTGGGGGAAACAAAGTGAGCTCATGTGGCACCAACTTCTGTTCCACCCTTTCCTAGCAACGGAGATGTATGTTCTTGCAAGGATTCGTGTTTGCTACACTAACTTTTCATTCATTTTACCAATGGAGGTGGCAGCAACAGAGAAAGACGCTATAGAAGGGGACAGGTGATGAGATGAGACACACATTCTAACATAGAAAGATAACAATCTGCAAAGGAGGGGCGCATCCAAAAGCAACAGCCCTGCCCGTAATAAACTAGGAAAAGAGGGTTTAGGAGAAAAAGAATTGGATTGCTAAGGAAGACTGATAGATAGACAAAAGCCTGCACCAGGCAAAAATCTTTGCTTCAAAAGCAGAGAAGGCAAGGAGTGCAAGCATCTAATGCTTAATACACTCCTCTTGACACCCATGGGAGTTGGGAGGTTGCAAGCAACTTGCCCCTAACCTCACCGCGATTATCACTGTAATCTGCCCTGAGCCCAATGACAGTGGATTCAGTCAATCGTCATAAACAACCCAGATAGGATTTTTTTCCGTTTTTTAATCCAATCCAAGTAATCCCGCTAAGTACTTTCTGTGTAAGAGATTTTTTTAAAAAATGAACCTGAAGGGCTCAGAATTCCACTGCCAAAGGCATGACTTTGATTTCGCAGACAAATGAACTGAGTTTCCTGCGGAGTTAATGCCCAAAAATTCAGATGTAACTGAAGTATTTAATCAATCCCCTACCCCCACGACGAGAATTACTCCTCCACGAGCTTCCAACTCAACACGCCATCAAATTTCAATCTTCCCAGCTCCCACTCCCTCACCGAACCAACGAACCGTCTTGTCAAATTGTAACTGGCGCGTCCACTGATCCAAGAAACACGAACTGAGATCTCTTTTTTTTTTAATTCTAATAAATCAACTCACTCTCGAAATCCAACGCAGCTACATCTCATCGACTGGGCTGAGATTTACAACCGATTTGAAATCCAATCGGCGAACTGGACATCGAAATCAGAGGATAAGTTCAATGAACGAGTGGACGGAATCTTGGGATAGATACATAATTCCATGGAGTAGACGTCCGAACCAGCACGACGAAGAAACAGGCCATCTACCTACCGGCCAAGCGAGAAAAGAGGATCCTAACAAATCGAGAAGGAACCATGTCCCCCGAACAAATCTAAAACAGTGGCGTGTCAGAATCTCACCTCGCCTGTCCTTCCACCTGGCGGCGGCGGCGGCGCTCATCCCGGCGGCTGCCGACGGCTTGCAGTCCGGCGGGTCCTCGAAGAGCGACCTCGAGAGGCTCTTGTGGGCCAACCCGATGTCGAACAGGATGACCCCGGGTTCCTGGTCCTGGACGAGGATGCCCTTGACGGGGAGCCAAACGAAGAGCTCCTCCTGGGAGAGGCCCTCCACGCCGCGGAGCGCGCCCCTGCTGAGGTTGCCGCGGACCACGTTGTCGAAGTAGGCCAGGTCGCCGTTGTCGTACGTGGCGTAGCACGGCGCCGACAGCCGCGCCTCCAGCAGGCCGGTCGATTCGTCCAGGGTGTACGACTCCACGCCGCGCGGGAGCAGTCCTCCGGGAAGGCCGTGATCTTTGAGTAGTTGATGTATCGTGTTGCCTGCGACGGCGAAGGAGACACCGTCCCTCGGCGCAGCGCGGGAGGACAGTGCGGGCCGCGGCGCGGCGTGCAGGAGAAGGACGCACACGAACGCGAGCACGGGAATCAGGCAGCGTAGACGCGGGAGCTTTGCCATGGGAGGGGTCCGCGGCGCGGCGGCGGGGAGGGCAGATGTGGGGTGAGAGGAGAAGGGGGAGGAGAACAAGCGGAGAGGAGGTTTTATGGGAGAAAGTAGTGGGATTTGAAACTGTGCGACAAAT